AATAGCAGGTATAAGGATAAATCTGAAAAAGTGTAAGAGGTCAACTCATTCTGGGTTTCTGTGTGCACCCAAAGCAATCTCTCTGGAGCATGAGTACTGAATTGAGCTCTCTGTCACATATTTCCTGCTCAAATACACACAAAAAGTCACATGTCAATAATTGCATCCCTTAAAACTCATCTTTGATCACCAAAATGACTTTATTTATCTGTGAAAAAAATATTCATGCCTTAAAATAGCTTGTATGTACAGTATATGTTTGAACCAGGGCCGCGGGCCGCAAACTATACGCTACATGCTCTATGTACACAGCATCGGTTGTCTAGTGTAACAATGCATATTGTCTCTGTTAAATAAACAAATAAAATAAAATAAACTAGAAACTTTTAAGGAAAAGTAGAAAAGTGAATTATACAGTTTTGTCTACGAAGTTGATATATCAGAGTGGTAATTATGGCTCTTTATAATGACGGACACATAACGGTAATTAATATGATTAGCCTTTTGCTTGACTACTTCATCAAACAGCTAATAATGTGTTGCTAATGTTCCTCAAACCATGTTCCCGTTCACCATCTCAGTCTGCCTTCCAAAAATCAGTATCATTAGAAATGCTTATCCCAACTTTGAACTTCACTAGAGAAAGGCATATAGATCATCATAACATCGTAATATACACAAGTCACATGCCATATTTCTAAACGTGCACGATTAGTCATACCCACTTAACTTTGGACATCGGATAGAAGTGCAGATCATGTCTATTTTGGGTCCGTCGGTCCATGACCAATTCTGGACATCTATTCGAATGCCAAACTTGGTCCACTAATTGGACATCCAACCCTGACGCAACTTGGATGTCAAACTGATGTTCAACATAACAGGGTATTTTTTTTTTTTTTGGACCTCATTTGGACGACTGGTGCAGGAAATTTACATTCAACATCATTGTTATCAACATACAGATTATTTATCATTATTTAAGATCATTTTCCAAAAACAATAGCAGGTGATAACTGGAGACGCATAAAAAGGTGTAATGCTGTAGCTCAAACAGGGGTGCGTTTTCCGAAAGCATCATTAGCCAACTATGGTCGCAAGTTCCGTCGTTATCAGCATAGTTCAACGAGTCGGTGTTTCCGATTCACCTTTTTACATTTTTTTTCACCAATTTTAAAAACTGTTGGGGAAAAGAACGTGGGGAAATTACAATTACAACAATTTGAATTAAGGGAGTAACACTCCTCTCAGGTCAAATCCATACCAGCAATGAAAACAGCAGGGATGATTCATTTAGCCTGAAAGAAAAGCAGTAATATCTTAGAATAACAGTCTATCAAAAAGTGCTCTTGGTTTCTCTGATACATCTGTCCAGTCACCTTGAGTGAGTCTGTGGGTGACAACAGTGATATTAAAGCAACACCAAGTAACTTTTCCTCTGCGGTCACCCTAGAGGTTGGAAGCGGAATTGTCCATTACTGCTTGCCAAAAAGCAAGTCAAATTTATAGGTTTTTTTTACATCTCATTCGGACCACAGAATAAATTATCAGATAAATGACCAAAAACCGGTGGCATAAGTGCATTTCACCATGTCACGACTTGAAGAACCAGTGAAACGATTTTGAAAACATTATTTTAAAGTAAAAATCTTACTTAGTGTTGCTTTAAACTCAGCTGCTCTTTAAATACTTTCTAAAGTGACCAGACGTTCTTGTCTTGTCCTCAACTAGAGCTGACCACAGAAATAAAAAAAGGCAAGACAAAAAAGGCACTTCAACTACACTGATCACGTAAAGAACTTAACCCGAAAGCACTATTATCTTCAAAAAATACTCCATTGTCAGGTGGGTTCAGGGTAGTTGCATAATTCCTGAACACATCTTAATTATACCATGTGGGTGAAAGTACTGGGTGCAAACAAAAACTAACCAATTGCACATACAAAGCCCATACTTTCTGTTCAATATGAACCTAAACTGCAAAATAATAAGCCTAAGAAGAGGAGTAACATTTTCAAAAGCACAAACATACAGTAAGATAATATTTGAAAAGGTAAAAAAACCCCATTGTAATTAATGGAAATTGAATGGAAATTATGTTAAGTACATATTCATTTATTTTGTTTTATTTTTTTGTTTTTTATGTGTAAAGTCATAATTTTGTTACAATATAATAGTGCTTTTAACTGTTTGCTATTTGCAAATTTACTATTTTCATAATGTGGTATTTGATGAACTGTATTAAAACAAGTAAGAGTTTTAATACAGGCGTCATGCTAATTATTAATTATAATAATAATTAAACTTTTTTTTTTTTCAAAAAATGTACTGTCCCATTTTTTTCATAGATAATAACAAGTGATATGTCAATGCCATTTTGACCCTAAACTAGGAAACGTACAACGGATGTTGGAGACATAAATCATGTCCATGTCCACAACATGAATATCAAAAACGCCTGACAGAGCCTAAAAAAATAGTAATATGATCAAGTTATTACTTGAAAACAAAACAAATGAGGGACTGGATTTAAACTATAAATAGAAACCTTACCAAGTTCTTCAGTAGTTCGCAGCCAAAACCCCCTCTCCAATTACCATGAATTTGCTAAAGGCAAGGATGTTAGGATGTAACAGAAACTGGAGTCTTTTTTTTAATTAATAATTATTTTTAATTATTACAAAAAATACTAAATAAAGAATATTACGACTTTAAAAAGGAAGACTTGAAGCACATGCCTGCATAATACACAGTAAACAAACAACGTAAAAAAACAACAACAAAAAAACTTTTGCTGGAATAAACGTCCCTCGCTTTGTTTATTAGTCAGGTCAACGGATATTTGTGCCAGTAAAATCACTATTAAAGCAAGGTGTATTTTGATTAAAAAACACAAAGCCATTTTTTGACTCATTACGGTACTTAATATGGAATTAGTGTTAACACAGGTGGTGTTTTAGTGTAAAGTGTACATTTTAGTGTAAACTTCTGAAGCAGGACTTTCAACTTCTTATTGCCTAAGCATTTCATGTTAGAACCTAACAGTAAAAAATATCAGTGGCATAAGACTATAAGATATTAGATCATGTGAGAAGATTCTTGAAATTCTAGATATGTGTAGGCCTACTTCTTAGAGAGAGAGAGAGAGCGAGTGTGTGTGTACGGTCTACAATATGAGCTGGCCCTGATCCGGCATGATTCTGGACCAGATCCAAAACAGAGCTGGACCAGATCTGGCCCACATTTGGGCCAAATCACCATGAAGGAATCCAGATCTGGTCCAGAAGAGGAGAAAACGGAGCCGTGCCGATATTAGCCCGTTGAGCCAAAAGACAGAGAAATTACGACATGTCTGGGCCAGATCTGGGCCAAATGATTTTGTGAATTTTTGTTTTTTGTCAATTTTTTTTATAAGAAATGGTTTTTGAGATTGTTTCAACTATATATTCAAATCCACCACCAACAACAACAAAAAAATGTGTTCATAAACAGCTGGGGAATTCACATGCCTCTCCATAGAGAGCTGTACATGCTATCTAGTGGTTACATCATGATTCTATGCTTTTTCTCTATACTGTAACCAGATGGTGCTAATTTTCTTCAAAAAATATTTTTTTTCTGAATGACTCTATATTAAACTAAAATACTGCATTAATATTTTTTTGAAAAAAATAATAAATATATAGAAAAATATATCTATTTTTCCCATGGCAAAAATAAACCATAAATATTAATAAATTCAATTAAATTGTTTCAAAATACTAAATTAAAAAGAATAAATATTATAGAAATATTATTGCATTGGTTTTACTGGGATGGAGAAAGTTTCATTTTTAGGTGTCCAGTCACTTTTGAGGGTTAAATATTTTAAATGACACAACATTTTTCAAATAAGCAAGATAAATAGTCCATTTGGTCTTCGCTGCCTGGATCCGACTGTTGGTCGTTGACTTTGATCGCCATCCGCTGCTTTTTTGTGAGGCTGACCTGTCCACTCCAGCACTGTCCTGTTGAAGGAATAGACATAATCATGTAAGCTGACCAGATTTAACGAGGGATTCTTTAAAGAAAATCTAAAGAAAAGTTGCTTCTAGCATTTCGATATGAGGGGTCTGAATTGAAAAGGTTTTGATTTGCATCCCAGATTAAATTATTAAAGTACTTAGTTTTTAAATCTTAGTAAAATTGAGAGATAGGAGGGTCTAATCAATGCTCTTTTACGACTGTGACCTGGGCTAAAGAGTCTGTTCGGGCTGGGCAGGTTTAATGGGTGCTTTTCAGACTAAATCTAAAGGCGTATCTTTTAAAAAAACTATTTTGAAATGTAAAAGGATTTTAAATTGAGGGCCTAGAAAACATAGTAGCAAAGTAAAAAAGACAATGTTTACTTGTTTGACTAAATTTTAAAAGAAGTAAAAACATAAAATATAAGGGACTTACAGACACTCTCTTTTGGATGTTCTTCTGCCTCTGATGCTCCCACCAATCCCTCAACTTTTCCCTCTGCTTTAGGGATCCTCAGTTCTGTGGAAGACTCGAGGTCTGGTGAATTTTGTGTATAGACCATTTCACAAGATGTAAACAACACTGGTCCAGAAGCACTTCCTGTTTCAGTTTTTTAACACTACATAAAAGCTGGGATAAAATACAACCAACAGAACATTTAAAACTGAATCAAAAAGTTAAACAAACATCTTTCAGATGTTTTCTTTACATGTGAAATAAAGAAAACAGTTACAAACTGAAACAGGAAGTGTTTCTGGACCAGTGTTGTTTACATCTTGTGAAATGGTCTATTCTGCTGCCTCCGTTATTTTCAATAACAAGTGCTGCCTGAGCACAAGACAGAGGCTCTATCTTGTCCTGCATGTGTGCTCCATGTGACTCTGATTTGTTTTGTTGTGTTGCGGGTTGCGTCTGTAGCAGATTCATGCATTCTTCTCCAGGCCTGCAGAGTGCGCTAATTAAGCTCCTGGTGGGTTCGTGACGCACACTAGCGCCGCTGAGAAGTGTCAGAAGAAGACCAGAGTAAATGGCCGCTTCCATGTCGCGAATGTGAGGCTGACAAAGATTAATTTTTTTACCTAATTGCCAACCTCATCGATATCACAATCGTGTCACATATTACAACGGTAAGATGAATGAATGTTGTATGTTATATGTGATTTATTAAATGAAGTAATTGATCGGATCTTGCTCACGCTTTTAGAAGCGCTGAACTCCCACTGTCTTATTAATGTCAAAATTAATTGAAGGATTAGAGATTAAACAGCGATTTTCACATAATCATCACATGCATATGTATATTCAGCTACTTCAGTAACATAATATGATACGTGATCAGCGATCTCTGAAAGATTTGGTATTTAATGGATTTCAGTGTGATGTCACTGATGTCAACACGAAACTAAAGTGTTTTAAACTTTAAATATGTTACACAAACTCTAAGCTGATCTTGTTTATTGTGAATTCCCTTTAAATAACCATGGTGCAGCATTGATATCTAATGTTAATACAATGCATGAAATAGGTGCTATTTTATAAACCCTGAGTATTTTTACGTCATTCAACCCCTAATTGAAAGTAAATAAGAAATGGATGGTTTGCTAAAGTAAAAAAGTAAATGACGCATTAAAGTAAATGACGCATATTTTAATATAATTTAGAACTTTCTATATTTACAAGGTAGCTTCACCGTAATACACAAGAATATAACAGTGTTAAAACTCATCAATTATAAACAACTTTCAGCTGTCAAGCATATACAGGAGACAATAGAGTCATGATTCAGTCTAATGTTGATTCGATTCAGTTCAATAACAATGTAAAGTTATGAAACAACTTTTAAAGCAGCTTTACCAAAAAACGGTAGTTTTTCAGCTCCGTTCAAGTTTTTGTGTTCTCATTTAGATAGTCAAATTCGTCAATATTGTCTCTATATATTTGTCTTCTAAGCATATTTGAGGTTAAATAAATAACCCTAACCCCATAAATAATAACTAAATGATATGTTAAGTCTTTTGCAGTACAGATTGTTGCTGTTCAACGGCGGACTGATAGTCCAATTTGGCATTATCCTTCAATTCCTTCCAAATGAAGGACGGCAAGGAGAACTCTAACGCCACTTTTGGAAGTTTTGCCACAAATCTGGACCACACAAAGCCATGCTGGTACTGGGACAAGAAGGATCTGGCCCACACCCCGTCCCAGTCGGACGGCCTGGACCCAGCCACAGAAGCCCGGTACAGGCGAGAGGGGGCGCGGTTCATATTCGACGTCGGTACACGTCTGGGACTGTATCCTTTTACTTTTAATGCTGCCATTTCTACCTTTTTAATGCAGTTTAGTGCAAGTACGTCTTGCTCGGCTGACATCTGTGTAGGACTGAGGTTGAAATACTGAGAGGAGTTTGATATTATCCTTAACCCCATTTTTAAGACATTATGACACTCTGGCGACTGGAATAACATACTTTCATCGTTTTTACATGTTTCATTCTTTCAAGCAATTCCCTAGATATGTAAGTACAACATGCTGGTCATTGCTATTTTATGTATATTTTACTTAAATATATATATATGTGTGTGTGTGTGATAAAGCTAAAAGGCAATTAAAAAACACGAAATAAGCGGTTTGTTTGAGAAAACGAACAGTATTTATGTCGTTTTTACTTCTCGTAACCAACATCTGAGGGTGCGGGCGTTTTGTGGCTATGGTTACTTAAGATAAAAACGATATAAATACTGTTTATTTTCTCACACAAACCGCTCGTTTCGTGTCTTAGGCCATCAGTGTGTACTTACATTTACGAGTCATTAAATCGTGTTTAATTTGGACTTCTCTGTGCATGCTCTTTGAGGTGGTGACCATAGACCTCCATTATATGACTGACAGACAAGAACGGTTTGACCTAAAAATATCAAAATTGAAAATACTGTGGAAACAAAGAAACCTACATCTTGGATGCCCTTGAGCTAAGCTAAAATATACCAAAAATTAATTTCAAAGTGAACTATCTCTTTAATTATCTGTCCCGGGATTGATTGATTTTTGGGAGCTAAAAGCATCTCAGTTGAAAGTTAGCAGGAGCCTTTAGCACACTCTAAATTGAATCACGTTTCCCTCCACAGGTGACCGGTGCTTGCTGTCTTTTCTTGGCTGGTAAAGTAGAAGAAACCCCCAAGAAATGTAAAGACATCATCAAAACTGCTCGTAGTCTGCTCACTGATGTGCAGTTCGCACAGTTTGGAGATGATCCGAAGGTTTGTAACCCATTCAACACACAAACTCTCAGTCTTGTCATGGCAGCACTGTATTAAACATCTCTTGTTGTTCGTGGGATGTTTCCACAGGAAGAGGTCATGGTCTTGGAAAGAATTTTACTCCAGACAATCAAGTTTGATTTACAAGTTGAACACCCCTACCAGTTTCTGCTGCGCTACGCCAAACAGCTCAAAGGTATTATTAGGTTTGAGACCGAATATACAATTTCATTTTGAATTTGAAGAAGTCAATTGAAGATGTTGTTTTTTTAATATAGTGCTGCTTTGTGACGTTGTTGCTCATTGGATGGTTTAATTTTTAGGTGACAAGAACAAAGTTCAGAAGCTTGTGCAGATGGCGTGGACGTTTGTCAATGACAGGTTGGATTGACTTTATTTATTACCAGCAATGAAACTGTATTTTCATTATTTGTATCATTAATTATATATATTTTTGTCCACATTTATCATTCAGCATATATCCATAAAATGGTCATTATAGTTAAGTAAGATTAACCATAAATATTTTTTTTTTACCTGAAATAAAATATTAAAAAGCTTAAACTTATTTTATTTAATCTAGTTGCCAAATCAAAAATAATGTAAATTAAAAAAAATAAAAAATTGAAATAAATTAAATAAAATGTTTTTTTTTTAATCTAACAAAAACTTGTTACTAAAACAACAACATTACTAATACTAACACTTTTACTAAAATGAAAACAGGAGATACAAAAATGTATCTAATTGAAAATAAAAAATAATTTGTCAATGTCGCCGTTGTCAAAAACACCATTCACACAGAACCGCGAAAACGACTAAAGACGCTGTATTCTGTTGCCAGGCCATTAGATGGCGATGTAACACTATAGACGAATCCGGTAAAAACTACCGGAAGTAAGCGGGCGCCATTACTGAGCTGTTGCTGGGTAGCGTTGCGCCATTGCCTCCTATTGTTTTAGTTTCAACTTGCGTCCACTGGAATAAACAGCTCGCGATTTACGACTGTCACTAACGTTACAACGTTACCCCTTGTATAATGTCGAGTGCGAACAGTTTCCGTTATAAATTGTTTCAATGGTGGCAGTAAAATTTCAATTTTGAAGAGAAAACATTGTGAATACCCCGGGTCGACTGCCCCTGTCTGGTGCCGTACGGTTTACAAAGATTTCCTGGGCGAGTACAAGACGCGCACATTCGCGTATAATAACAATTATTTAATGACATAAGTAAAAAAATATATAATAAATATGTGATATAGTGATCAGCAAAATCTCCTCTCTTGCTATTTTTTTCTATTCAATTAACATGCTATGGTCATTAAATGGCTTTCCTGAGCTGAATGTAACGTTATGTGACATAATTGTTCTCCTGCTGTTATATTGATCTCTTTCCATGGTTTAAAAACACTAATTGGTCGATATTATGTATACTTTCTAGCTGTAACGTTACCTTACCCTTGCCCGTTGCAATGTAAAAATGAGATAAATAATGGACACAAATGAAAAACATGAATTTGTTATTTGATTTCATTCATTTATTCATTTATTTATTGTTGCCAAATGGACAGATCTTTTTATAGTTTCCTCGTTAGCAAACGTTAGCCTAGCTAGCTTGCCAAGCTATTTTCATAAATATTCTGTAAGATCATTTGTACCTTCATCTGTGATTGGAGGCCGCTGTCTAACATCATCAACCCAACAAGTCATTCTGCCTGTCTGTAGCTGTCATCGAGGGTGCGTTCGCGTTATCACCGAGGTTTGTTTACATACCGGTGCACATGTCTATGCTGGTGTAACAGCTCAGTAATGGCGGCGCCACAAGATGGCAGCCTACACAGAACGCTCGTCGGATTCGTCTATAGACTGAACACGTAATTTGTGTGCATGACGTCATTGTCTTCAGATGTTCGCGTTCGCGTTTTAATTTTTTTTTTTTATGGAGACTTTTCAAAAACTTGTACTTTGAAACCCGTTTTCAAAAGTTTGCGTTTACAGGCACCCAAAACGCCATTGTCGTGTAAATGAATGGCGAAAGCGCATAGCAAGTTTTACGTTTTTAGTGAAACGCTGTCGTCTAAACAGCCTCTAATGGTACATTTCCATAAATGCAAAGCTAAGTAATGCACAATATGTGACATATTGTGTAACTATATGTAACTATCATCAATGACATTGAAACCTTGTTATTTTCAGACATTGTTCATTTTGCATCAAAAAGCAACAAAAGAATGTGAAAGGCTTCGTTTTGCTAGCAAAATATTGAATGTCATCATCTGTGACTCTAACATGTTTGTGTGCCGCATGTTCCAGTCTCTGCACAATGCTGTCCCTTCAGTGGGAGCCTGAGATCATAGCAGTGGCCGTCATGTACCTTGCCGGCCGGCTTTGTAAGTTTGACATTCAGGAGTGGACGTCTAAGCAGTCGTCCCGCCGCTGGTGGGAGCAGTTTGTACAAGATGTGCCAGTGGAGCTGCTGGAGGGTGAGAGAATGGGTTTGACAAACTCACTCTATGTCCCTCTGTCATAATAATCAATTACACTACCAGTCAAAAGTTGAGTCGAGTCTCTTATGCTCACCAAGGCATTAAAAATCATACCGATCCCAAACTCTTGACTGGTAGTGTGGTAACATTAACCCTAGCAGTTAGCATGATGTACAGCCCACGTCCAGTTTTTCTTCATCTCAATACTCTTTTCTTGTGTTTTACAGACATCTGCCACCAGATTCTGGACTTGTACTCGCAGGGTAAGCAGCCGATCCCCCAGCAGCCTCAGATGCAGGACAAGGAGAAACCCCCGCCCCCTCCTCCGGCCCAGCCCAGCCAGTCAGGTGTGCCGAACCCTCCCGCTCAACCCCCCTCCAAGAAAAACTCCCCCCAGGCCAGCCCGCCCGCCAAGATTAAACGCCAACACGTAAGTTATATACTAATATATTTTGGGAAACACAAATTTGTGTCTCAAACTTTCTTAATTGGTGGGTCTAAGGTGCTTTCTCCCTCAGGGATTATGGGTAGTGTAGTTCTTTACCAGGGATTTGCCTAAAACTGATTCACATTAAATTGTGGCTTTTACAGAAACTGTATAGCGCTGCAGTTAACAATTTAGAAATCTGCTGAAAATGAAATGTGCTTTATTTGTTACTTTTGTCTCAGCGATGTAATGTTTAAATACAACTTATTTTGGTTTGTAGGTCTCTCCTAAAGATGAACCTAAAGCCCCTGCAGGTAAACCACTCGCATGCAGAGGACATTATATTGTGTCATGATAATGAATGTCTATTGTGAGATGATGAATTACCATTATTAAATGTTCATTTGTCTTTGTTTCAGAGCAAGTTGGATCTAAGATACCCCGCCTGGAGAGTCCTATGCCCCCTCTTCCTGTTTCCCAACCCCCAGGTGAGGCTTTCTGTAGTTTGAAATAGGCAGCAGAATAAATCTTTATCACTAATAAATGTTCATTACTCATCATAAACCAAAATACGAAGTAATCTGATTCGATTACATAACATATGGGATTTGCCCAATGGGGCAATATGAAAAATCTGAAATGATCAAATGCTACATAATAGATTACTCTGCAAACTGGTACTTTTGACAAACTGCTTTTAGTAACTGCCCTTGTGTTTTCCATCAAAATAAGAAATCAGTGGTTTAACATTTAAAAAATGAAGATTTTGATATTGTAAGGTGAAGATTGTAATATAAACAGAACCAAACACACCTACACACACACAAAATGTTACATTCAAGTTTGCAGTTAACCACAACACAAAGCACAGGCAAGGGAGGTCAAATCAGATTTTAGCCCAGTGTGACATTATGCATAAGGTGAGAAATATGTATAAAAAAACTATGTATAAAAAAAACAAAACAAGTAAATAATAATAAAAGATACTACATATTCAATTTTACCATGAAAACACTAGCGGAATTTAAGGAGAGTGACAGCGATAAAAGACATCATTGTCCCTGAATTTGAATAATAGTTAAGAAGCCCCCAAGATGTTTCAAATCCACCTATATTTGCAGAGATATTCAAAATTAGGAAATAAAATGAATATAATTTTTTTCTACCTTAAAAAAAAAAAGAGCCGTTGTCGGAGGAAAGTAGTAATTCTAATAATAAAGCACAATCAGATTGCCAAGTGTCATCGTTGTCACACATGTTTGCTAAATAATTGACGAAAAGACTTTCAGATAAAAAAGAAATGAAGACCATACATTTTAGTATTGTATATTTAAGGTTACAAATCAAATATTGTTGAATATAAATATTGTTTTATATTACATTTTAAAGGCAAATTCTTTCGTCATTTACTCACTCAAGTTGTTGCAAACCTGTATTAGTTTCTGTCTTCTGTTGAACACAAAGGAAGATATTTTGGAGAACGATTGGAACCAAACAGTTGTTTGGCACCATTGACTTCCATAGTAGAAAAAAAAAAAAATACAATGAAAGTCAATGGTGCCAAAGCTACAATCGTTCTTCAAAATATCTTCCTTTGTGTTCAGCAGAAGAAAGAAACTCATACAGGTTTGCAACACCTTTTTTGGGTTTCCAAATTGCTGTTAGATTTTTCATCTAGGACTCTATTGATGCTAAAGGCTTGTCTGAACTCTGCCCACACACAGATCGCAAGGCTCCCTCTGCCATCCCAGCGCCTCCTGCTGAAGCGGAACCAGCCACACCCTCTGAAATGGACCCAGCACAAGGGCCGGCTCCTCCCCTGCCCCACGGGGCCCCGCCCCCTCTACCGCACCGCCCTCCCCCGCCTCCGCCCTCCAGCTACATCATGGGAATGTCCACGTCCAGCTCGTACATGTCCGGGGAGGGGTTTCAGAGTCTGCAGTCCATGATGAAGACCGAAGGGCCCTCTTACGCTCCCATGCCTCCTTCCTACGGGCTCCCTTACCACCCGCACGTCTATCCACACCAAAACCCCCCGCCTCCAGGCCCTCCCCCAACCACCTACCCTCCTCCCAATCTGCCCCCGCCCACCCCATCTTACCCTCCTCCAGGCTACAACCCCAGCTACCCCCCTCCACCCCCACGCATGCCACCCGGGCACAGTGTGCCCCCTCCGGGCATGGGCCTCCCCCCCGCTGGGTACCCTCCTCCGCCCGGCCAACCTCAGGTGCCGCTGCCCCCCCACGCCATGCCGCCCGTGGCAGGAATGAACAGAGGGGCGTGGATGAGATGAGAGGTGGTGAAATCAGTTCTTCACACCCATGATACATGTGCCTGTGTACAGGATATACACCGTCTGTACTAGGTTATATGTATTCGGATGCAGGATTCACAGGAAGATACAGACATTTCAGCTGCCATGTTGAACACTGGTGGAATTTGAGTGTCAGGGAGGCCGTGAACTGCAGCAGACTTCCGCTTGGGTTCAGGGTTCCTCTCCACTTATCCGAATTAAAGGGATAGTTCACCTTAAAATCACCCTAATGTTGTTCTAAATCTGAGTGAATTTCGTCAAATCTTCATGGATATTGGTTGTCTTTCTCCAAAAAGGACAAAAAAAAAACCCATGACTTGTGGTCCATGACTTGGTCTTTTTCTTAAGCACAGACCGAATCATCTGATGTCCAATTGATTTATAGCTGATTTCAGCTTTGAAGTTCCTCACACTAAGCATTTCATTGGTTTCAGAAGACATGGAATATAGTAGTATGAATTATTTTTATTTTTAATTCATTCTCATTCTGGTCAGTTGGTCAATATAAATGGTTTTTGTATGGAAAGATCTCTTTTTGTACATTGGAAACAAAAGTCTTACAGGTTTGGAATGACATGAGAGTGAATAAATAATGGCAGAAATTTCAGTTTGGAGGAACTATCCCTTTAAATTCATTCACATCACCACTAACATTCCAAACACCTTTCTGGATTATGAATTCTTGGTTGTACATATGATTTATTCTGTAATATCTTTAGGGAAACCTAAATGTTATGTCTTCACATGCCTCTGGCTTTGCTTTTTAGTTGGTGTGTTGCAGAATTCATATTATTTTCTTAGCAACAAGGGGAAAATATCCCAAAAATCATCCTTGGCAGTCCTCTTATTCAGATGCGTTTCTGGCATCTTAAGTGGATTGATTGATGTACATTGTTAGTATGATAGTTTCCCGTATGTGCCTTAGTTTGGTTAATAGTTGATTGGTAAAGGACTTGCTGTGCACAGCCACCTTGTGTTTGCTGTTTTTTTTAGGCAGATAATAAAAGTCTTTTTTTCCCTTGATCATTTATTGAATTTTCTTGTGTTAAAGAAATTTTTGACTTCACCACTGTCATGCTATCAATTACCAGAGAAACATATTTTGTTTTGGAATAAACAAGCAGGCTTTTTACAACTAGTCATGAGACCATAACAGAGCCCATCTAACGGAGAGCCTTGGCGCTTCCTTGCTATTGTGTATCATCTTGGTTGCAGTTCCATTAGAATTCCACTGGAGGTAATCGCAGGCGAGTGCAGAATGAATGGGAGTCTATGGGGCTAAACAGCTAAATGTGTCTCTTTCACCTGCTTGTTGTTGAATCAAAATAGATTTTATTGTTGATTCCACAAGTCCAATATAGATTATAGGCCAAAAGTCGAATGAACGAGTACTTATGTCCTTCTGATTTCTTACAGGTTAGGCCGTTGTTGGCCGGAACACGCTAGCATTCTGCTATTGTGTGACGTCATCACATTTTTGAACGGATTTTTTAAAACAGATAATTTAACTTAAAAATGCAATTTTCAGCTGAGTGTATTTTCTTAGCCCTCCCTTTTGAATGCAACTTTCAAATTACTTGACAAAAAATTACATCCTGAGAAAAGTGGATTTATGGGGGTGAAAACCCATTGACTCCCATTCATCTGCACTCGACCGCGAGCGCCCCCGCATGGACAGAGACGTGTTACTGCAGCCAGTCCAGAACCCGGAAGTAACCAGCCAGTGCCAATTCTCTTCAAATAAACATTCTCTGACCATACTTCAATTAAAAACCTCGTCTCCCAATGTGCTACACGGCTCATTCACCTTCCACCTTCTGTTTTTTTTTTTTGGCGTTTTGGGTACCACCAGAACTTCCTGTAAAAGGTCTGAAAGTCCGAACCATACAGAAATGCTTTCACACTAGAAACGAACCAAACCTTTGTTCAGTTTGCCCCGGACCCAGACTAACAGTTACCTCTTTTCGTCAGACCAAATTTCCTCTGTTTGGTCTGAACCGGTGGTAAGTTTGATTCGGACCAAACTGAAAGGTCCGGATCAATCAAGGTAGGTGTGAAAGGGCCCTGTCTTGTAAGGTGTTCTCAGTATGCAGTAGTTAGTACTTGCCAAAAGTGGTGCGAGGAAGGCCAACTGGGTGAACCCAGGTGCCCAAAGCTCATTGATGAAGACTAGCCCGTCTGGTCCAATCAGTCTGAGGGTCCAATGTCCACGATGACCCCTGTCATTGCCGAAAGTGCCTATATGGGCATGATGCGGCCAATCCTTCATGAATATAAAGCTTTATACAATACAATACAATCTGCTGTAGTGCATTTGTTCAGCTGAAGTCAGTTCAGTAATGAGGACGTTACTTAGGCACGTAGCCTACCACTTACCTAAAGACTGTTGCAGACAAAGTACAGCTCTTCATAGAATGGAGTTTCCTGATGGCGTTGGCCTCTTTCAGCAGGATTTTCTGTGGTTCCCAACCCTCACCAATAAAACACCTGATTCAACTCAGTAGTAAAATACTCTCAAGACCTCATAGGGTGTGTCAAGATAAAAGGTTACATCAAAAATGTGTAGGGTTGGGGGAACCACTCCAGTAACAATTGTTCAGGAATGGCTTGACCTCCAAATCTCAATCCGACTAAACATCTGTGGGATCTACTAAACCAACAAATCCAATCCATCCTCGCAAATTGTAAGTGTTTTGGTGCCAGATATTGCGGGACACGTTCAGAGGTCTTGTGGATCCATGCATTTTGGCCTCACGAGGGGGACCTACATGAAATTAGACAGTTGGTTTTAATATTGTGGCTGATCATTGTCTTAGTATTATAACTGATTATAACTATGTACTAGTTATATTAACATTAGTATAATGTGCACCTACATAAAAAGTCCCCCGTAGTCAATTTTATTCCTTAAAACTCATCTTTGATCACCAAAATAACATTTTTAAATGTTAAAATAGCTTGAATGTAACTCTACACCCTTGCCTTTGTTTACTAAGCATTTTGCAAAGCATTCACGTAATTAAAAATGTGTGGTCGTAATACAGTGATTACCAAAAGCTCCCAACGTTCAAAATGTTTTGGTTTGAATTTTAAGCAATTCACCCCCGTAGCCATTAGGGGGCACACTTCTCAAACATTTATCTTATTATCTCGCATTGGTGTGTGAACTGGAAGTTCACATCCAAGTGGCAACCCACAGTACCAAAATATACACGAAAATACGCAGTCAACAATTCACCAAAGAAATGTGGTTAACACAAACCGCTGTTTAATGGAAGTGTTATTAATAAAAACTTAATTTAGCAAGTGACACAAATCTGCAGCTTTCTTTTGACAACAACTATGCACAAAATACATTTAGCAGTATCTTTCCCACTGTATTTGGAAACCTTATCAGATTAATTTGAGTGACAACCCACCATTTGACAACCACTGAACTAAATATTCTACGTAAATTACATAAAATGTTTAGTAGTTGATCTTCAATTTATTGGATTAGGTTCTAGACACTTCTATAACACTGTTTTCCACATTGATGATGAGTCCACACGGCCCGGATGGGCTGACACTACATTGCTGTCTGGGTGAAACTCAAGTTGTTTTATAATTGATGATATATATATATAGTAAACACCAATACTGTTAAAATGGTTTATTACTATAAAGTTGCTGTGATACAGTCAGTATTGTCTGCACAAATAAACGTGACGAGTCAAAGCAATAGTTTATTTTATTGACAAAATCGGCCTGGTTCACTTTGTACAACTTTTTCCTTTACATCTTTGCAAAAAAAATATCACCCCGACGTCTCCTGTAGCCATGCTTGCACCTATTAATACTGAAGACAGGATAAAACCTCAGAGGTTTTACACAATAAAATGACACAGGGTATCGGTGCATAGGTTTCAAACAAAACCTCATGCACAAAAGAGGCAGCACAGGAGCCAAATAAAATCATCCGAAAAAAGAAAAGAAAAATGGCTTGGTGTTCAGACCTTTTCCCAAGAGAATCTGAAACAGGATCTGTTTGCAACTCCTTTCATTAACAACAGTAACTTCTTGTGACACAGGTGGGTCAAAACTCATGCCAGCCAATCAAACGCACTCCTCCCGAAAGAGAAAACCTCAGATCAACTCTTCAGATTCTTTCTTAAGACATTTTTTGGCTATGTTCAGATAACATATTACTAGTCATTTTTGCTGTATATATTAACCAAAAATGCAGTATACAACAAAGAACACATTTCACAATATTGTATCCCACAATGCAGTGCCTTCAACCTTCCATTTATAGCGTGAAGATCGAACTGAAATTAGCTGCAATTTATTCGAAATATCCTAGATGGCAACATAGTGTCGGCTTAGATCCGGTACATGTTAAATCCACACGTAGCAGCTGTGGGCCGGATCTGGGCCGACACAATGTTGCGTCTGGGATTTTACTTGAATTTTCCATATGACAGTACTACAGTTTATGCTTGTATGTGTATTGTTTTACATACTGTATTCAGCATATATTGAATGCTAGTATGCTAGTATTGCATTCTGAACACAGCCTTAGTATTTCAATTGTAAGCATGCCTGTTTTACAACTTGGTTAGTTCAGTAGTTTATCTGACATTGAGAGAAAAAAAGCAGGAAAAAGAGACTCACATATGTACATTAAACTGTAGCTGACATGCATTTATATTAGCTGAACACTTGACCACTACTCAGGATTGAGGCTTGTTCTCTGCCGAATAGCAGGCCCTGCAGACTTTTGAGGGTAAATGTTTGAAAGTGGTACACTAGACATTAATAACTGAAAACATGATCAAATTAGCCATGATAGTGAATAATCCAACAAGCAAAGGGTGGGAAACATGAATACGTTTGTGAATGGTGGGCGTTCTGACTGCATGAGGATCATTTTTCATCCAAATAACTGTTAATAATACTGACCGGGATAGAGAATATCCCTGCAATAACTATTTCAATACTTTGAAGGTAAAGTATGAGTGCTGTTTTCTTTCCTGGGGTGGAGTATTAAATTGGGGCCGGACATATTGATGGACTTTTTTAGACATAAACCTCCTTCAGTTGTGCCGTGCATTCATGTAGAGGTCAAAGCAGCGCGTGGTGTGCAGTGGTACGTTACTTTTAAAAGTAGTGTTACAATATAGCATTACTTCTTAAAAAGTAACTAATTGTAAATTAGTTACTTTTTAGGAAAACTACAATCTCTCTCAACATGAGGACAAGCGAGCTGTTCGTCTATAAGTCGTAAACAAAGTAATTTACATTACTTATTTGAAAAAGTAAATGTACATATTTTGATGTCAATTTAAATATGCGTTACTTTAGTAGTTACTTGAAAAAAGTAATCTGATTACATTACTCGCGTTACTTGTAATGCGTTACACCCCCAACACTGGCGGTGTATATAGCCTTGAACATGAACGGGCCTTCAAGGAGTCTTTAGATTTGAAGGTCATCCCTACTTAAAGCTGCAGTCCGTAACTTTTTTTGGGTTAAAAATGATCCAAAATTTATTTTGAGAATATAAATAACCTGCCAGTGTTCAGTGATCTGCTTGCCGTAGCTCGATTCAAAGCGCGATTCAAAGTTCCAGTGGTACTGGTGGATTTCTATATTGTTTATATTGGATTTTGTGTATTGTGTGTGAGGATGTTGGAGGTGGAGATTTATAGACATTTCTCACCGCACTTGATACAATTAAACATAGCAATTTGATGGCGGATCCAAGAAAAGTTCAAACGACAATCGCAGTGACAACAGACTCACCCGCTGTAAAACGCAAAAGACTTTGTTCGGACTTCGGAGCGGAGATTGCAATATATGTATCCGATATGTATCCCCTTGCGAAAACAAGGATACATATCGGAAGGACATTACATGTAGTCAAGCAATGTTGACGTTGTTAACATTTACAAATTGAAAACAAAGTATAATTTGCACAGTTTTGCGTGATATGATAGGCGATTGTTAGATTTAATCAGCGCGATTTACTGCAATGTCAGAAACAGAACAAAAGTGGATGTTACTTGTTCAGATGACATTTTCCAGTGAAAATTATGTTGGTCATACTTCCAAAAAGAACAATCTGTGATTCTGAATGGCAGTATGGACACCGGCAGTGACTGACAGACGCACACTCTCCTCAAACATTGTGTTCATCCCAAGCGGCAACATTCTAATCTGAAAAATTAAGCCTGCCCGGAAGTGCGAAAAACTGCAATACATCTAAAATCCGCTAGAGGCCGGTCCCAAAAGGGAGCAAATGTCCATAGACCCCATGTTAAAATGTCCATTTACACAGCATAAGTTCATGCTTTTACAGGTTGGTCCCATGGACTTTTATTGTATTTTTGGATAGGTTCCGAGTGCCTGACAACTGTGAGGGTGCCTGAACTCGTTAGTTTAGATCGTATTTAGATTTAAAATGTATGACAAATAAGGGCGGTTAACTTTGATTGACAGCTGATAACGGGCTGCGCCGAGTGGAATTTGATGTCTCGGCCATGATCGGACAACACATCATACCACCTCTGTAGCCTTTCTGAACATTTGTATTTTGTATTCCCCAAGATTTTCCAAGATGGCGCCGCCCATAAACAACCTCAAAACTGTTCTTCAGAAAGTCTATGGGTGACGTCACAGACGCTTTGTCCATATTTTTAACAGTCTATGGTTCATACGTGCTGTGCCGTTTCGAACTACAACTCGCGTTATAAGTTGATAATTCCGCGAATGACTGCAATTGCAGATTTCGAACAGAGATGGCGACAAACAGGAAAAATGCCGGACTGCAGCTTTAAAGTCCCCATGAAATCAAAATTGACCATACTTACTTTGTTTGCCTAAATTGATCAATTTGTGGTGAACAATTCATACATGCAAGTCAATCCACACAAAACATTTTTTTGGCTTCGTAATCTTTAATCAAATTTTGAAAATGCCCCTCCCCTCAGCATTGGAGGACCACTGGCTTTACGGTTTGGGTGTCTCCTTAACATCCATAACCACGCCCCTCCAACTGACAGCTGCTGTGTGTTTGCGAGCGCCGAGCGAGCATTGATTGACAGCGTGTGTAAATTTGCGTCATCCTCCATTTCAGAATGAAACACCCATTTTTCTAGATCCAATCAGGTGCTAGTTGGAAAAAAGCCACGCCCACTATTTTGCCTGATTTAGTATTCCGTTTTTCTCAAAAATACGTCACAACACTGGAGAAAAGACGTTTGCAATTTCCGGTTCACGGGGACTTTAAGGTTAAACACCTTATATCCTTAAACATTAGGTTAGGACAATGTTTTGCGTCAATATATTAGTCTTGACTGTTAATGGGTCAGTTAAAATGGACTGTCATTCTCAACCAACTGTAATTATGTACAGTACATAAAGAAAAAGGCTGGAAAAAGGACATGTATATATTGTTTCAGACACATGATTTACACTTGTGATTTCCCCAGACCTGAGAGACGTGATTGTCAAGAATCCACAGCATACTGTTTTAAAATTTGACATCTTAAATATACAAAAACAATGGATTTTGTGCTGCTATTGTGTCTCAGTTGCATTGTCTACAAAGTGTTGCGCTGTTAAGAAACCCCATACGCTGTCGAGTTAAAAACAGCCACTAGAAAAAGTAAAAAGACTTAAAAAGACAACATAATAATAAAGTGATCTAAAGCTTATGTACATATCTAACATTCCCTTTTAGAGTCATTTCTGTATGTTACTGATGTACAGAAAGGGCACCAGAACACAGTGGAGTGACGAGCGAGTGAGTCTTATCTGGTGTCGCCCCCTTTTCTCTGAAAGTTTGATGGACCCAACTTTGTCTAGAAGATCGTAAGGACACAGTAAGGAGTTTTCTGACATCACTGTTATGTAAAAGAATAAGAAAAAAAAAAAAGCGGTAAAAAATACAGATGAGGTAAACTGACTGAACATGACTAGCTGCCAGTCATAAACACAGCCTTGTCCCAGATTACACCGTCCTTTGTGGAGACTACATTTGACCGCATTGACTGTTGGGTAACTGTTGACTCACACCCAGATAGCACAAGTCTATTTGATGTAATATTTAGATCTAGAGGACGTATTTTTAAGAGTGTTTGCTCATCTGCAATACGTCTATAGGACATTTCCTGTCAGATGTCAAATAGACGTTTAGAAGACGTCGTAACATTGCAATGAAGCTGTGATTTAAAAAAATTCAAAACATACTTTTTGTAATCAAAATTTATTGGTGTGTATGTGTATAAAAGTGTGTTTGTATGTGTGTGTGTGTTGGTGGGTGTGTCTGTTTTGCACTCTAGATGTTGTAGAGTGTCACCACTTTCCTGCGGTGTACTTTTTTTTTTGAATTGTGGCCGATTTGTCGATTGTACATACGAAAATTCAGAAAAAATTTTTTTGTTGTCAATTTTCCATTCATTTCCTTTGGGTCGGTCATTTTTGACAGAGAGCAAAAGTGTGACTCATTTTTTACGCCCACTTAAATTGCTCGAATCATGACCTCAATTTTTTTTGTGTTCACATACCCAATGCCATAAAAGTCACCAAGATTCGTAATTTTCTGAAGAAGCTGTGATTTTTAAATATTCAAAACAGATTTCTTTAATCACAATTTATTGGTGTTTTTGTGTATAAAAGTGTGTGTGTAGGGGTGGGTATGTCTGTTTTGCACTCTTGATATTTTAGAGTGTCACCCTTTCAATGCTGAGCACTTTTTCTCTGCATCGTGGCCGATTTGTAGATTGTACACACAAAAATTCTCAAAGTTTATGTGTTTTTGTCAATTTCCCATTCATTTCCTATGGTCGGTCACAAGCGTGACTATTTTTTTTTTACGACCACTTAGCCTGCTCGGACCATGACTTCAATTTTTTTTGTGTGTTCACATACCCAATGCCATAAAAGTTACCAAGTTTCGTAACATTCCGATGAAGCTGTGATTTTTAAAATTTTAAAACAGAAAATTTTTCAGTCAGAAATGACCGAAGAGCACCTGAGGGTTAAAAATATGTCTTTCAGATGTAAAAATCACATCAAATAGACTTGTGCTATCTGGGCAGAAGATTGGCGTCATTTGGGCCAAGTCCATAAATTCGAACAAGATCCATCAAGGCAACAAAGAAATGATAATTAATAGTCAAACACTGTTATTTAAATGTGATTATTGCTTTGATTGTTCACTGATTCACTGAATATGAATCATGGCTACTATCTGACAACTGGTGTGGAGTGATCCAACGTCGAAGTTCCCAAGTTCGACTCCAAATGACTTGATGGGTGGGGACGGGAGTGTTCACGTTGCCCGTTGTTGCAGTGAGCAGTTTCTCAGTTTGGCCCTGCTGGAGTTTCATGTTGGGTGAACAGGAGGAGGAACGGTTCCTCGTGTGCTAGAGCTGCTATAGAGGACCTTTGAACTGATTCCCAGAGAGCTGTTGTCGGACAGACGGCTTTGATCCTGCTGCGTCGCCCAGCTTTCGCCACACCACCTGAACACAAAGAGGCGAGTCACGAAACAGCTGCTGTACGGCAGTCCAAAATCTGCCTCTTACAACACGTTATCATTTCTATGCCAATAAGGCTCATATATCATATGTAGCCTATAATTAGGGATGCACTAACTACTGTTTTTACAGAAAAAACAGTGGTTAATCTATACTATTTTGTCTAAAATCAATTGCTTTAAATGCTACAAGTCAATTTGCGCATCACAATGTTATAAATGTACAGTCCAAGACGGATTTTCATCCTGAGATTTGAATTTAAAGATTACATTGAACAGTGTTATTTGTGTTACTTTAGATAACGGAAAAGATGATCTTTAATAAAATATTAAACATGAAAACATTACAGGATTTTCTCCATATAATGGACCTCAATGTACCCCAATGTACTCGTTGATGAAATTGAACGAATCTTTTTTCGAGTCATTTGGTTCATTCAAGGAACGAAATGACTCAAAAAACAATTCGTTCATTTTGATGAACGAGTTCGAACAGGAGAGTCACGAACACGCAACACAGAACAGAGCATGGCGAGCATTTTGCTCATAAAACTTTTTTATTTATTTTTGAAATGACCGATCGTTTCGCTCGTCTGGTGTCGTTTAAAGCCCTTTGAAGCTGCACTGAAACTCTCATTTGGACCTTGAACCATTTGGCACCCAATGAAGTCCATTATATGGAGAAAATCCTGGAATGTTTTCATCAAAAACCTTAATTTCTTTTCTACTGAAGAAAATAAGACGTGGACATCTTGGATTACATGGGAATGAGTATCAGCAAAAGTTTTTATTTTTATTTTTTTAAAGTGAACTAATCCTTTAAAGGGGGCATTTTCAACTAAAATGGATGATTGTTTTGGACGTTCATTTACACAACGGTGTTTTGGGGGCCTGAATATGCAAACTTTTGACAATGCAAGTTTTTAAAAATGATACTGTCTTTATCTCCATGTAAACAACAAAAATGCTAATTTGTGAAAACGGTGACGTCATGCGCATTACGTGTTCAGTCTATATGTGCGTAGTGTTTCTTTACAAAATGACAGCGCCAACTACTGGCCTGGCATGAATAATACAGCGTTTTTAATTGTTTTTGCAGATCCGTTTTTGCAGAGAATTTTTGAACAGTGTTCGCGTTGGGGTTACAGGCCAGGCGTCTCCAGGTGAGAAGCACAGAGGTGTTATTGTGAGCCAGATATCCGAGCTGGATTCATCCATTCCCACATTCCACAGAGGGGCCCAACAAACAGATCAAACTCACGCTATCATCAACCTGTCCATTAACTGACCCTCCCAAAAGCTTTACCCACTTGGTAACACTTCCTTGTGAAGGGAAGCTTTACTGAACATTCAGTAGAAATGAACTGGACAGATTTGAAGTAAAATGTGCTTAAAAAGTACAAACGGAGTGATTTTAAGTCAATTTGATGGGTTGGATTGGAGTCATTTTCTAATGCATTTTTCTTTTAGACATTATTTTATTTAGATTATGCAATAAGCATGGATACAAAGAGTCAACTGAATGAATGAAGTAACTGGATTCCTTATGTTTCAGAGTGCCTGAGAGAGCTAAATGCCCATTCACAACTAGAACGATAACTATATATAACTATATTAGCGTCTACAACAGCGGACGATATAGTTGTATTTATTCTAACCTTCCTGCAGTTTTATCATCTGTCGCTTTAAATGCTCGAGCTCTCGAAAGCAGGATGGATTCTGTTTGGCTGATCGTTGGTCAGCTGAAAAACCCATATCGTTTCTCTGTGATGTTATCATTATAGTTGTTGTGTGGACTCTGCTATCGTTTTATATTTAAACTGGTTTTTGGAAATATATCTTTATCATTGTCGTTAAAGTCGTCGTGCTTCGTGCGAATGGATCTAATCACAGACAAAAATCGAGATAAACACTCACGTTGCACATCTCTCGCACTATGGCTTTCTCGTTCTCATTCAGGTCTTCCTCGCTTTCTTCTGGAAGCTTCTTGTCCAGATTATCATGGACCTCCAGGACCTGTGAACACATGGTCAAGAGTACTGTAGTCTCGCATACTCAAACTATTTGTCATTTCCTACAAATACTAAAGCAAAACATTTTATTTCAACATTTCTCTCAAAATATTATGCTGATAATACATTTAATAACTGGAAAAAGTATTAAATTAGAAAAAGGGACATTTTATTGGTTCCAAACCATTAAGGCTTTCATTGGTTCTCATGCGTTTGCACTTCTGTTTATCATATTTGATGTGCGTTGATAGTTTATTTTGCCTTCAGAACTGCTCTAATTCTTCGTGGCACAGATTCAACAAGGAGCTGGAAACATTCCTCAGAGATTTTGGTCCATATTGACATGATAACATCTCACAGTTGCTGCAGATTTGTCGGCTGCACGTCCATGATGTGAATCTCCAGTTCTTTGCATCCCAAAGCAGCTCTATTTGATTGAGATCTGACGACTGGGGGCCATTTAAATATAGTGAACTCACTGTCATATTCAAAAACAAGTTTGAGAGTATTTGAGCTTTGTGACATGGAGTAGCCATGAGAAGATGGCACAACAATACTCAGGTAGACTGTGGCGTTTAAACGATGATCAACTGGTACTAAGAGACACAAAGTATGGCAAGAAAATCTCCTCCACATCATTACAGCACCAGCAGCGTGAACCATATACTATACAAGGCAGGATGGATCCATGATTCCATGTTGTTTACGTAAAATTCTGGCAACCAGGCAACGGTTTTCCAATCTTCTATTGTCTAATTTTGGTGATCCTGTGTGAATTATAGCCTCAGTTTGTGTTTTTATAGCTGTCAGGAGTGTCACTGGTGTGTTTCTGCTGCTGTAGCTCTTCTGCTTCAAAGTGTGTTCAGAGATGTTCTTCTGGAGACCTTGGTTGAGACGAGTGGTTATTTGAGCTATTGTTGCCTTTTTATCATCTCGAACCAATCTGTCTGTTCTCCTCTGACATCAACAAGGCATTTTCACCCACAGAACTGATGCTCACTGGATATTTTCTTTTTCAGGCCATTCTCTGTAAACCCTAGTCACTTAAAGGGATACTTCACCTCTGGAAAGATGAATGTGTATTTAAATTGGGCCATTTATGTAGAAGAAATGTGAAAATATTTTTGAATTTGGAGCTTTCTAGACGGAGAAAAGCTAGAAAATGTATATTTGGCTTATGTGGATGAAAGACAACAACTCCCAGAATGCACTTGCTTGGCTGCCCTAGGAGGCCACGCCTACCGGTAACAGAGCGCAGGCGTTAAACAACAAATCTATGCTACTAGTGAGTTTCCGTGGCGAGTCTGCCCGAAAATGTGTTTTGAGATCGCCCAAAATGTCCGGGATTCGGCTTTTGCGTTCTACAGTCGCCATTCATCATGTTTACTGTGGCGAGCAGGACGAGTGAGGGCCGCGGGAGAACGGCGCGAGGCCGGTGACGTGATTACCGATGAGCGACACCTGTGAGACACATCGGTCTTGTATCTCTCACGCAGGAGCGGGAATTTTCTTAGCAATGTTAAAACGCACATCAACCGATCACTAGTTTAGCGTTCATATAAACACTACATTCAGATTCACCAATCGGAATGAATTCAATTAGATTGAAACAAAAGCTGTACATGTAAACAATGAATGGCGACTGCAGAAAGCAAAAGCTGAATCCCGGACATCGACGGCCGGAAATGTCCGGGAATAAGAGGACGGTAACCCCTACTACTCAGCTTTCTCCACAGAACGAGAGCCTGCTAGCTTAGCTTCCAAAAAAAGATGGCTGACACTATGTGTTCATTCTGTGAGTGAGATCCCACCCTCTATGGGTGAAAACATGCAGAACAGACCCTACTACTGACTGTAGTCTTTAGCCTCTGGCCAAAAAATCCTCAGATGACGCAAAATCACGATTTTTGTGTCATTGGGGGATTTTTTTAGGACAAAAAATACACAAATCTCTCATCTCGGGGGATATGAGGTTGGAAAGCGTGGTAATTAGAAAATACTACAGGTTTTCAACTAATACAAAGCTTAATGCTAAATCCTAAAGTATCCCTTTAAATCACCTTTATTTTCCCATGCTGATGCTCAGATTAAACTGAACTGTTTTGCTGCCATGTGATTGGCTTATTAGATATGAGTTAATGAACAGCTGATGAGTGTATATATATATATATATATATATATATATATGTAGCTATTAGATAATGTGTGTGAGTGTGGTAATTTATGTACCTTCATTGCATGAACCACAGCTTCAGGTTTCTGCACAGATGAGATAAACCCAGTGGCGGGAGAAGATTCGCTGGTCTGTAGTCGTCCAGTTCCCTGGAGAGGAGAACGCAAGGGGTGGTCAGTTACTCTGTGACAACGTTATGGTTAAAGGACCATGGTATTCCTATGGTACATCACATTTTTTATGGCATAATGACGTAAAACCACTATTCACAAGTTTGTGGCTGGTATGATTTTATTTAAAAGCAATTAATACTTTCAATTCAGCAAGCATGAATACAATTGCTAACCAACGTAACCAACAAAAAAAAAGCAAGGCGTAAAGCGTAACCAACAGTTTTGTAGAATCTGATGCTTCACCATTCAAGTACACAGGAGCGAAGACGACAGCGGAGCAGACCCGACAGACTACCAGATGTTCGATACCTGGTAGATCACCATGGTCCTGTTCTCATTGGTGATATATTGACTAATACATCATTGTTAATTAACCGTCTCAACTCGGAGATATGAGGATCATTAATAATGAAAACTACATTCCATCTAAAACATTCATCTCAGCTCAACATTGCACAAGCAGCCCAGACAGCTGTGGAGGACAAAAAGCCCCTGGTTGTGTTTAATCATTCATACCGCATGAAGAGAGCCGGACATGATCCGCATACATTCATACTGACGATGACCACAAAACAGCTCATTTAAAAAACTTTCTCGAACAGAAAATGAAATGGGGAAAGCGCTTTATGTATTGTGCTGTGTGCCGTGTTAATGATGATCTAATAACTATCCAATACGCTTCGATAAGAGAGCTTATCGATCAAATGCTTCTGGGAGGAACTCTTCATATTTTGAGACTGTTTCCATGGAAACAACAGAAAACTATTTTCGAACGGTTGAATATAGTCATTCTCACTCTAATTAGAGATAAGAGATACAAATATATTTTGCGCCAATTTCCCAGGACGTGGCGAACGCATGGAATGGAAACGTTGCTTTATTTGCAAATGCTCTATGCGATAGTCTAATGTTGTGGAAAAGTTAAATTCGCAACTGGATGGAAACCGTGGTTAATCTTGTCAACGAAATTTAAACTGAATATCAGTTGAAACTTTCTCGACAAAGAGTTACAATAACAGAGACGCATTATACTTTTAATTTAACCCTTTATGACCTGCCTAGAACAGTTCCACCAGAGTATATCTTTCTATTTTTACATGCTGTGCTGTCATTCTTTAGAGCATTATTTTGATGCCATACATGTCAAGTCAAGTCAAGTCACATTTATTACATCAAAATAAATAATCCTTACTCTCCCAATTTGAAGGCTATGTTTGTAATAAATTAATAGTAACTAGATAAATATCTCAAAAAGTGCAATAAACAAAAAGAAAAAAAATTTTAAAAAAATTCGACATATTTTATTCAATACAAAAAAAATGATAAATGTCAACCTCAAACTTGTCAATGTGAAAAACGTGCATAAAACAATTTAAAACTATACAGAATTGATTTGAACTGTTTACAAGAATTAGTTTTTAAAGGGTTAGTTCACCCAAAAATGAAAATTAAGTCATTAATTACTCACCCCCATGCTGTACCAACCCCGTAAGACCTTCGTTCATCTTCGGAACACAAATGAAGATATTTTTGATTAAATTTGAGAGCTGTATAACTAGCAAATAGACTTCCGGGACTGGCTCTTGACGGCCCAGAAAGTCAATGAAGAAAATGTTTAAATATTCCATGTGACTACAGTGGCGAGACTTCCACGAGACTTCCTTAGATTTCCACGACGCATGCGCGAGAACTGAACTGAAGTAGTGTAAGGAGATCGCAATTCTCGCGCATGCGTCGCGGAAATCTAAGGAAGTCTCGTTTCAGGCCAACAATGAAGAAAAGGAATAGTCGAATAAAAACGTTATTTTTGTTTGTTTTTTCGCACAAAAAGTATTCTCATCGCTTGATAAACTTATAATTGAGCCGCTGTAGGCACATGGAATATTTAAACATTTTCTTCATTGACTTTATGGGCCGTCAAGAGCCAGTCCCGGAAGTCTATGTGGTAGTTATACAGCTCTCAAATTTAATCAAAAATATCTTCATTTGTGTTCCGAAGATGAACGAAGGTCTTACGGGGTTGGTACAGCATGGGGGTGAGTAATTAATGACTTAATTTTCATTTTTGGGTGAACTAACCCTTTAAGATACACTCATTTTTACACTCATTCAAAAAAGGGGGTAAAAATGCCATGTAAAATATTCAATTAAATTTGTGGTCAAACAGATAACATTTTGCTTTTGAATAATGATTGAATATTGAATTGGTTGGAATATAAAATAAATAGACCCTATCAGAACAATTAATAATAAAATAAATATAAAATAAAGCGATGAGCAGACGGAGAGTTCAGCGCGTCCGTGTACTTTCGTTTCGACATAACGTTGCGTGAGTGCGCGCTTGTGTGTTTGTGTGTGTGTGAATGTGCTTATATTTGCGAGTGTATAAACGAGAAAGAAATGATAGAATGAAGCAATGGTAAAAAGACAATAACGATAAGAAGGAACATATAGCTGATGGGAGTCAAATGCATGGTCAAATGACGCAGTGTTTGACGTCACAATATGCGACACACGCTGGGGTCATAGTGCACAGAACGTGATCCGTCCATGGATCCGTCAATGAGCCATCGGAAAAGGTAACTATCAATCGCAGATCTACAGAACGTATGTGTAAAGACGTGCAATGCATTTTTTGTGATTTTTTTTTGTAAATGCATATTACGCAATTTGTACAGACTGATCATGTTACATCTCTGGTTTTGTATGCAAAAAGAATGATTGAGCTAGCCATTTGGTTTCAGTTTCTATAGGCTGTTAAACAGACACGCGCAAACCGGAGCGCCGGCGAGGTTTAACGAGTTCAATTAAACCATAATGTTGATGAAAATATGACAAGTGAAAAATTACACTGGAAGAACAATGCACTAAAAATGGTTTTAGAACAAGAAAAATCCTAAATTATTGTATGATGAGCTAAAAGAGTGGAATATCGCTTTGCTAACAGGATCTCATCAGCCACATCCTATCACGATTGATCAAACAATATTCAAAACATCAACATATTAATGCAATTTTCCTAACCGTCTTCTATAAGGAACTCACAACACTTAAAAAAATTAGCAAATACTTCAGTAAACTCATTATTTCATGGTATTATTTTCAAATAAAATTTGAACAATCATTAATTCTGTGATTCAAAGTAATTAAATTAAATATTTATCATATTTCATATTCATATTAATCTTTAATTCTCATATACCTAATAAACCATCAGATAATTTAGCGCTACCAGAAAACAATGCTGTGTGTGATGGTAATGTGAGAAGCTTGGCTCAAACATTGATTGGAAGTGACGCCAACAATCTATAAAACATGAAAAGGTCAAATGGAATTAAATGGGAGCTTAACCTGTTTTCTCAGTGGAGATGCTGAGTCAAAACAATTTAAAGAAACTCAATTCAAGCTCTGCATTAACGTTATAAAAAATTTCAGCTGACAATGGAGATTTTCAAGCAAGCCTCCCACATAAAACACACCGGCGAGACTTCCTGTGCACTGGCTACAGGCTCATTAGCATTTCCTTTTATTCATCAGATTTTTCAGCATTTGGTTCTGCTCATTTTACAGGCAACAATTAAAGAAAAAAAAAAGTTACAAATATATGAAAAGGGCCTCCGGTTACAGGAAAAGCCTAAAGCAAAGCAAAAACAGATGAAAGTTTTGACGTATCAAGGATCTCCTTTTTTTCCCAAAAGAATCGTGCCAAACTGATTGAGCGGAGCTTTCTTGTTATAATAATCTCCCTGTGCGATATCTGGTTTGATCAATTGTTTGGGGGCTGCCAGTGCCAATTGATGACAAATTTAAATCAAATTAATTGCATAATTAAATACATGCTGATTTATTACCTGAATTAAACACTTCAATATTTACTGTGAAAATCCCCCAAAGTAGGTTATTTGAAGACATCTTTGCTGTAGACCCATAATTAAACCGAAATAACAAGAAGTCAGTTTTATTCCATATCATAGAACATAATCCCATCCCTCGCCTACAATCCACAGTAATTTAATTGTTTGTTCAGAATCGAAAGTCACTCGGGAGTCGGGACATGTTCTTCCATTCCAGCTGTGCTACTTATTTAGGCTGACTTTTTTTATTCACAATACCATATTTTCCATAAAATAAGTCGCACCTAAAAACTGCATTGTTGAGAGAAAATACACACACAGATCATTTCCATCGTTGTATTAGTCACACACTCGAAAAAATTATATGTTGGCTTTAATTCTTTTTTTTTCGTCAACAGGTTCCACATAACTGGGTTATGTTTAACAAACATAATTTGTTCATGTAACTTCAACATCATGGAATTAAGTAATTTAAAGCGACCCAAATTAAGTAGTCTCAACGTGAATTTTTAAAATTTGATAAAAAAAACGTGACTTGTATTTGGAAAATACGGTAACAGCAATTAAAGGATTAGTTCACTTTTGAAAAAACTTTTGCTGATAATTTACTCACCCCCATGTCATCCAAGATGTCCATGTCTTTCTTTCCTCAGTCGAAAAGAAATTTAGGTTTTTGATGAAAACATTCCAGGATTTTTCTCCATATAATGGACTTCAATGGGAACCGGATGGTTCAAGGTCCAAAAGACAGTTAATAACTGTTCCAGATGCAGCTTCAAATGTCTTTAAACGATATCAGACGATGAATAAGGGTCTTATCATGCGAAACGATCGGTTATTTCAAAACTTATTCCAAAAATGTAACTTTTATGAGGACAAATGCTAGCCTTTCTCCATTCTCTGAGGCGCGTTTGTAACGTCACGTAATACGTAATTACGTTCAAAAGGTCACGGGCGACGTAGCCGGAAGTACAGAATCAAAATCGTCCGACATCGCTGTTTTACCTTTTAATTCCTTTTTTGTAAACGCCGTTTGAGTTTGTTTTCACGTTCAACCTATGCGTTCAACTTGTAAACACTCTGACTCTGTACTTCCGGCTACGTCGCCCGTGACCTTTTGAACGTAATTACGTACTACATGACGTTGCAAACGCGCCTCACAGAATGGAGAAAGGCTAGCATTTTTCCTTAGAAAAGTTACATTTTTGGAATAAGCTTTGAAATAACCGATCGTTTCGCATGATAAGACCCTTATTCATCGTCTGGTGTTGTTTAAAGACATTTGAAGCTGCATCTGAAACTGTTATTAACACTATCTTTTGGACCTGAACCATCCGGTTCCCATTGAAGTCCATTATATGGAGAAAAATCCTGGAATGTTTTCAACAAAAACCTAAATTTCTTTTCGACTGAGGAAAGAAAGACATGGACATCTTGGATGACATGGGGGTGAGTAAATTATCAGCAAAAGTTTTTTCAAAAGTGAACTAATCCTTTAACTTTTACAGATTTGTCTTTGAGAGGATCACTCACATTCAGCAGAGCCTCCTGCCTCTGGGGGAGCGAGGACAGCTGCGACTCCGAGCGGTACAGGGTCGTGCCTTTGCGCAGGACACGCAGGTCTCCTGGGGTACACTGGATGGAGAGAGAGCATATTAAACACTCCACCAAACAAAACATACTTCACCGTTACCAATGACAATAATAGTGGAAAGATTAAAAAGTGGGAGAATCATAGTTGTGTAAGTCACGGCCTGTATGAGGAAAGAGGAGACAGGTCACGCGTGGAAGAATTGTTAGAAATCAGCTGTTCTTTTACTCTTGACTTGGAAATGTTATTGAAACAAACGCTTGAAAAAAAGATCGAAAGATTTTGGTCTTTTCCCATTCAAACAAAGAAGATGTGCATCTATTGCATGCAAAGAAGACAGCTACCAAAGGGGTTTCCAAGATGGCCGCCGAGTGAACCGACTAGCTTAAAAGGTCTATTCAAAGTCAAATGTGTTTTATTTGAATTTTCTTCAACTTTCATCCATGGTTTCATTACTTGAATGCTCAGGAAATTATGTTTTTATTCATGACATATTTATGCTATCTTTAGTGTTGCACGTGTCAACAAAGCCATCTGTTGGCAAAATAAATCTTTAGTAAGCTCTTTGTTTTGCTTGTGTTAACAACAGAGAAAGTAATTTGATGCGTTTTATTATGATATAATGTAGGAACTTTGTTCACTAATGTGTTTTATTTGATTAAAAGTGAATTTGTATCATTAACTGTGCACATGTTAGTGTGTAGACCTCAGTAGACATGACATTTCTGCATCTCGTCGAAATTCAAAATAGGAAAACTGACTTCAAAGCTGCATTTTTTTGCACTTTCCCAAGTATGAAGTTGTTGAATGAATTAGCATGAAGTATGGATTCTGTGTTTCTGAGCTGAATGAAACATAACTCGAAAAAACTCCCACACAGCTTTCTGTAGGTATTCTTGTCCATATAAAGTGTTATAATAGAGACACCCACAGGCTCCAGCTGGCATCATCTCTAATCACCAGTGATCCTTATGACATTTTCAATGTCTTGCTTTCATGTCCTCTGAATGCATGTGATTACTGTAAGAAGACCTATAAATAGCTCTGTCACTCTCTTTCAGAAGAGAAACTGTGTTTTCGGTGGCTGCAAGGAAGATGTGAACTTCACGTCTGCCTGCAGCCTAAACATACTGTCTCACCCACTAACCATTCATGGTATTTAGGACTGATGTACTTGTATAGAAAAGTACAATTTGTTTGTATGCGGTTTGTGTAGAATTTGATGAAGAAAATATTTATTTTTAATAAAAATGCCTATGGCTTATGCCTACAATAACGTGCTTAGTAACATATTACAGTAATGTATTAATCCATGCATTTATATGCATCACTGTAACGAAACTTAAAAAATAAGAGCTCCGACTTCCTACAGTAGGTTGCCTATGAAAGTCTGTAGATTAATTTGTATGTGAAGGAAGGGTCGTTTTTGCCGAGAAAATCGAAAGTATGTGACGTTTATAAACGTTCCCGTGATCCTCTCTCCCGTTCAATGACACACGAACAAACGAATGCTTATACAATGTTCAGGATAATGTTGACAGAGCTATTCTGTACTGTAATGTCAATGTTTCATGCAAAGAAAAGCTATTAATTTAAACTATAGTCTCACAGAGCCAGCTCTACATGGTCTATAGTCTCAAGTAGCTTAAACTATCATAACGGTGTAATTTAAATTAACCTGTCGACATGATGCCGGTGAATTGCAAAGCTTGTGCAAACATATCAAAGTCCTTTTAGGCAAGTCATTCCACTCGGCCGCCATCTTGGCAACGCCTCTGGGCAGCTATTTCGGACTTACAAGACCAGGCTCCGATCTAAACCAATGGGCAGAGACTCAGAACTGCACTTTCAATAGTCACCGGGACATAACAAATGCTTGTATACAAACGGTAATAAAATATGAGAAAAATCGCTGAATAAGTTTGATGACTTTGCCCCAAAATAAGGTTTAAAACACCTTTTTCCCCACAGGTTACACTTTTACTGCACATGCGCAAGGGTTCTCTCACTCTCTGTCACGCGCGCTACTGCTCGCTCGCTCTAGATTCAGGGAGATTTGAACTAATTTGCTATCAATCTGCGGGAGACTCCCAGAACTTACGGGAGACTTGGGATGTCTGATATTTACACAACTAACACATATCAAATCTGCCGCCTTTTCAAACATTAACATATTTTCCATTGTTGCAACGATAGGCTTAAATGTTTCCCGGCTTGACTGTTAAAAGCAGACGATTGGCTTTCCAGCGGGAGGGGCGGGGCATGTGCATACAACCGCCATCTTTGGTATTATGGGTTTTCCTCAAGGGCGTAATCCATCGACCGGAAGTTGAAGCCTCGCGGGCGCTGCCATCTTGTAGCGGAACTTCACTTGCGTTAGCATTTCCATTGACTCCCATTCATTTTGCCGTCACTTTGACAGGGAATAACTTTACATCTGAGGCGTTTGAAGACCCCATTTGTCCATTATTTATTTCTAAAGAATCACGACAATGTATAAAATGCTCCATTACCTTGTAGCTTATGTTATGGCCACGTAGAAGCAGTTTTTTGTAAAGTAGGCTAACGATTGCGTCATAACCACGCGACTCTCTGTCGCACAGTAGAGAGATTACCGTATGGACAGGAGGAGAAGCTCGCGGGCAATCGGGGAAACGTGGAGGCAAAATGACAAAATAATCAATCAGAATACCTAGCAAAAGTGTTTCCTGCTCCTAGCTCATGGACAGCTCCTACTCACACTCTCCGCCTATGCATGTTTTAGAAGAGAATGATTCAGATTTCTCATGCCACAGCCACTAGAAGACAGACGGTTTGCTGACGTCACATCTACGTCGTCAAGCTCTGTTTGAGATGGTTTGAGTCTGCGAGTCAAATCGCTAAAAATGGGCTTCACTTGTCTCAATGGAGTTCCAATGAGATGGCTCTGTCCATTTCTTATACTGTCTATGGTTTTCCCTTTATAGTTGTATTGAGGATTGAGGAAGTGGCATGTCTCTATATAAATAGTCTCTGAACATATCCACATCTCTATGATCAAAAGGTTTCTTAACTACCACTTTCATTTTTGTTCTGTTTATATTATTATTGAGAGGAAAGCATGCAGCACATATTTACATATGTCGCTCATAAGCGTCGCTCTCAGCAGCGTGGAAGACGTCTGAATGATCATTAACAGTATATCGCTGCAACTTATTTATCGCTGCAACCAAGTGAAGAACGAAAAAGAACTTCGCTGTGAGTATATCGAGCCTTTGAATCACATCGAGTCTCTTGTGTGTTAAATGTGCATGAGTGTGAGAATGAGCAGCAAGTTGCTGACTGCAGTTCACTTAATGGCCACCGGTGTCGCTAAAAACAAGGGTTTCTGTATTTTACATATAGAAACTCATTTAAATAATTATAATTGGAGAGTTTTCCATCTTTCTTCAGGATCCATCAAGTCTTCATTCTATGACTGTTTATTGAGAAATGATCCAGTTTGAAATACAGCTTCTTCTAAATTTGCGTGTGTGGGTGGGGTGTGTTTGTACGTAGTTACCTACTGGAGAAGGTAAAAATCAGTCAAATTTAAGTTTGTTGTACTAACTGTATGGTTTAATTTGATTTATAAGATGGAATCCTATTCAATGGTGTCCACAATTCTGAGAAGCATTATATGAAAGCCTTGTGTTTATTGTTGAAATGAGCCTGAATGCACCGAGGGAGTGTCAGAATTCCTGCAGACTGACGTTATTGCGCGTCTACCGTGTCAATAGAAATAGGTTCACCTGCACCGCCGGAACGCAACCTGTTTGAAGGGCCAACATTCCTCACCTGAATGTATTGTTGCTCTGACAACATCCGAGTAAACATCAAGTAATTTAAAACATCTGACAACAATACAGTAGTTATTCCTGACTAGACAGACACACTTTGCATTCTTTTCACAAATTTAATTATCGTTAAACTAGAAATGAGTAGGATCATCCTGTCACTCATCAACAGACTAGCAGTCAATTACTGTCTGGACTTTGTTTTCTTTTAATTTAGCTTTAATATTTGTAATTACAACTAATTGCCAATAGTTTATTGTTGAATGTGGTGAATTTATGAATTTAATGACTGGAATTATACGGTTTCTACATTCAGTCATGCTACCCATAAACTAGTGACGTCCATATTTTATTGGACAGTCAAATATAATTTAATGCAACACAACGGGATTCAAACTTGACAGAGAGTGCTAAAATTAAAAAAAAAAAAAAAAAAATGTGCATCTCCTTAGAAAAGATTATGGACGATGGCCAAGACAGATAAGGGGGCATTTATTAAACATTTCAATATGTTCATACTCATCTTTACATCCATCAGTTTGTCAGACATGAAAAATTGATGCTGCACTACCTGTGTTGCTTGAATAAAAGATAAGATCAGAAAGAGGGACAAGCATATGAGCTCATGCGCCATCATCCCAGCATGTTAGCACAAGCACTTTTAGACTAGCATGCCATTTTACACACCAGCTTTTTTTAAGTTAGAGAACTAGAGTACAAAGATAAGAAACAAGCAAGAAGAGAGCTAGGAGGAAATAAAGCTCCATCACCACTGAGCAAACATGTGGTAAAGTTACCTTCATGGACAGCTTTGATAAGCTATAACGGCTACAGGGCTGGAGAACACAAGAGACATTTCACAAACCAATTAAACACATTATAATCATCAGATTAAATATTCAAACAGAAGGCTTCAGACTTCACATTTTTGTGTTAATCCTCTGTTGCTGCTCACATGGTTTCTCAACTATATACATCAACAGAAAAATATACCAGGTGTGACTTATGGATTTACTCATGGTTTGTCTCAAAGCACATTAAAACTCCACATATACATACTGTATAAACAACAGTAAAAACCTGATTTACACCACAGGGGGGGTATATACTTACATTACATGCATACATATAACATACATTTTTTAAATTTTTTAGTTTTTATTGCAGAAGGAGTGTTTTTTTTTTTTTTTTTTAGTAAAAATTGTTTGAGCTGCGCCTTAAAGGACAACTCCGGCGCAAAATGAACCTTTGGTCTAATTGCACATTGTTACCTATTCAACCGTTATCTGAGATTTTTTTTCATGATTGCCGAATCTAAATAGTTTTATCTATTAAAACAGTTTAGCCTATAATGCTAGTATAACGCTAGTCTATAGGGCATAGAGTAATGACAAATAAAAATCGCTTTTTATTACCACCAACAAGGCTCAAAATAGCCCCACAGTAACACGACAGCATAACAAGGGTCCCTACATGCAAAACGAAGCATTGAGAACTTTGTCAGTGTCCATACAGTTTAATAAGAAGATATTTTATACACACAGTCAACTTCACGAATACAGGAAGAAGCCATCTTTAAAATATAGTCTCTACCAGTCGATCTACGAACGCTGATCCAAGTGCGCTGAACTGTGCAGAATCTCATATGGTCCGTTGTTTCCGGAAGAAACACAAACACGAACCATTTTCTTCTCTTTAATATGTACATGTTGCCTACTGTTCGCGCTCACATTATCACTTTATTCACATCTCACCAGCGCACTTGGATCGGCGTTCGTAGATCGACTGGTAGAGACTATTTTTCAAAGATGGCTTCTTCCTGTATTCGCAAAGTTGACTGTGTGTATAAAATATCTTCTTATTAAACGGTATGGACACTGACAAAGTTCTCAATGCTTCGGTTTGAATGTATGGATCCTTATTGTGCTACCGTGTTACTGTGGGGCTATTTTGAGCCTTGTTAGTGGTAATAAAAAGCGATTTTTATTTGTCATTACTCTATGCCCTATAGACTAGCGTTATACTAGCATTATAGGCTAAACTGTTTTTATAGATAAAACTATTTACATTCGGCAATCATGAAAAAAAATCTCAGATAACGGTTGACTAGGTAACAATGTGTAATTAGACCAAAGGTTCATTTTGCGCCGGAGTTGTCCTTTAACTGTACAGAAGAACTGTGAATTTGCATTTCATCCATCCTGCAATTCCTTCATTCATTTAACTTTTGGTGTGAAGGGGCCAAAAATAGATATTTATATATATATATACACACTCACACTTAATTTTATTTATAAACTCAAAGGATTATTAAAAACATCTGTTCAATTTCTCATTAATACAATTATCTAATCAACCAATCACATGGCAGTTGCTTCATTGCATTTAGGGGTGAAGTCCTGGTCAAGACAATCTCCTGAACTCCAAACTAAATGTCAGAATGGGAAAGAAAGGTGATTTAAACAATTTTGAGTGTGGCATGGTTGTTGGTGCCAGACATAGGGCCCTATAAAATGCGTTTTATTTTTTCCCAAATTCCGTTTTTTCCGTTTTAATTTTTGCAAATTCAGTTTTTTTTTTTTTACCCTTTACTGTTATTTTAGTTGTAAAAGAGCTTTTAATGTTGCTTTTAATGTTAATGATTAGAATGTACACAAATAAAATAGGCATTTACTCTTAAAATGACAAATACTGCATGATGCAACAAAGCACTGCACTCTAAGTACTTCAAGTAACAACAAAATATGATTATGTCCTGTAAAAATAAATTATATTAGTTTATATAAGTTAAAATAAAAGTCACACTCTAGCTGCGTCATAATGTGCATACTATCCATCCTAAATAGTGGCATAGTAGCTATGCACATTGGGATGCAGCTTCTGTCTCTCGCATGCACTGTCGAGTGCTCTCTCGAACACACTCAGTCTCTGTCGCGCGCACTGTCGAGCGCTCTCTCGGACACACTCGGTCTCTCTCGCGTGCTCTCTTGGACACACTCGGTCTCTCTCACGCGCACTGTTGAGCGCGCGGTCTCATCTCTCGCGCGCGCTCTCGACTCGGACACACACACTCGGTCCGACACCTTATAGACAGAGGTGCACGGAGGGGACTTTGTGTGTGTGTGTGCGTGCGTGTGCGCAACGAGTTTCTTAACTTTTCCGCCGAAGAAAGCAGAGCCGTGGAGAGCCACTTCGCCATGCTTTCAGTGGAAACGTGGCTATTGTTTTGATGCCGTCATGAGCTGAAATGACGGGAGGGGTTGTGTCGCCCAGATCTGCTTCCCTGTCTCTCTGCATTTTCCCCAGACATACGTTCTTCCCCCACACAAAAAACGAATTTCATTCCAAATATGTAAAATTCCGCGTTAACACTAGATTCCGCGTTAATTCCGCCCGCGATTCCGTGATCGCGGAAATTATAGGGCCCTACAGACAGGCCGGTCTAAGTATTTCACAATCTGCTCAGTCACTGGGATTTTCACGCACAACCATTTCTAGGGTTTACAAAGAATGGTGTGAAAAGGGAAAAACATCCAGTATGCGGCAGTCCTGTGAGCGAAAATACCTTGTTGATGCTAGATGTCAGAGGAGAATGGGCCGACTGATTCAAGCTGATAGAAGAGCAACTTTGACTGAAATAACCACTCGTTACAACCGAGGTATGCAGCAAAGCATTTGTGAAGCCACAACCTTGAGGCGGATGGGCTACAACAGCAGAAGCCCCCACCGGGTACCACTCATCTCCACTACAAATAGGAAAAAGAGGCTACAATTTGCAAGAGCTCACCAAAATTGGACAGTTGAAGACTGGAAAAATGTTGCCTGGTCTGATGAGTCTATTTTAAAGACTTATAGGCCCTTTCCATGACAACAACATGTCAATCTCAGGGTCACAAGTAAGTCACAAACCAAAAGTGTCATCTATCACAACAGCTGAAATGGCTTTTAGGAAAAGCTTAGTGTAGGTATCCTGGGAAATCACAAGTTCAGCTCGGTTCATGTGCGCTCAGGACGGCGTTCTCTGAAGGATTGAGCTCTCCTCTGAATTAATCATGCTTCAAGTGAATGCGCTCATTCTCAGAGGACTGCACCGATGAGACGAAAACCGTTTTCTCTCATTTGACCGGAGGGAGAAAGTAACTCTCTTGCATTTTAATCATACTCTTACAAAGTGCTCTCCATCCTGGGGATAAAATGCTTTCAGACATTCAAAGCCCTATGTTCCACATGTTCAGAGATAGAGACTCAAATAGCTTTGACTCGAAAAGGCACAACATTTTAAGTGTACCGCCGTCTGATACACCCACATCCACTGCTAGACCGAGGGGGCTGGCGATGAAACCGTAATGAGGATATATGATTAAAAGAGAGAATTATTGCAGATCCAAGGACTCTTTCAAGCCCTTGGCCAATGCCAACACTCTCGGCTTTGTTTCTATGAATACTGTAATGAATTCTACCAACAAAGGGCTTCATGAGAACTGCTTTGTAGTCAGTATTTCCAGTGCCCACACAGTGTTTTTTTACTCACTAGAGACTGAAGGAATAATTCACCCAGAAATACACCACCGTGTCATTCTGAGTATACGACTTTCTTTCATCCGTGCGACACAAAAGAAGAAATGCTAAAGAAAGGACTGGCTGCTCTTTTACTGTACATATTAAAGAGAAAGTTCTGACCCAGGAAAGTCAAAAGTGGTTAATGTGGCTTGTGCATTATATTCCAAGCTTTCTTACCAATACAACAGTCGTGACACGGGCCACATCGATGTTCTGATTTCATTGATGTTAAATATGATATCAAGCAACAAATGCCATATATATTTGCTTAATAAAATATTTGTTAATTGAACAACAAAAAATGTTTTAAAATGTTAAATATTGAATTGTAATCCCATGTTTTATTCTCATCATGGCTGCATTTATCTGATCAAAAATAGTAAAAACAGTAATCCTGTAAAAAATGATTACAATTTAAAATAACCATGTAGTTTATTCCTGTGATGCAGCAAATCAACATATTAGACTGATTTCTAAAGGATCATGTGACACTGAAGACTGGAGTAATGATGCTGAAAATTAACTTCTCAGGAATTAATTAACTTAAAATATTTTAAAGAAATGGTAACAATATTTCACAATATTACTGTTTTTACTGTATTATGAATCTAATACATGCAGCCATGTTGAGCATAAGAGACTTCTTTCAAAAACATTATTTCAAACCTTTGCCCAGTAGTGTGTATATCTATACCAAGCATGCCACACAAGCGAAACCAAAACGTCTCGGTTGCCCCCCTGTGACCGGTCCGTTTGTTTTTAAAATAAGTTTGCTTCTAGTTAGTTATGTGATGCTATAAAAACGGTGCTGTGACATTGATAATCAAAACAATTGTTACAGACACTAGCAGCAGCCAGTGTCGAAGGTAACTCATTACAAGTAACTTGAGTTACATAATCAGATTACTTTTTCAAGTAACTAGTAAAGTAACGCATTACTTTTAAATTTACAGCAAAATATCAGAGTTACTTTTTCAAATAAGTAACGCTAGTTACTTTTCCACATTTATTGACTGACAGCACAAAAAAGATTCAGTATTCCTCAAAATGAATAAAAGTGAAATGCAAAAAAATAATAACACGCAAATATTTGTATACATTTAATCTAACTTTGACCAATGTAAATGGTTCTGACCTTCGATGATTCAGCTAAACCATAAGCAAAAATTACTTTAGATTTTTTGTTTTTATTGGTTAAGTAAGTGTTAAACATTTTTTCTCCAGTGTCCTATTCTTCTTTGGTTTGCTCGAGCTGCGCCCTCTACAGTACACACTTGAATTTGCATTTCCTTCAGCCTTATTATTCGCCTGGCAAGCCAGACCTACATCAAGATCTGCACGCAATAGGATAGCACTACAACCAGAGCAATGAATGGCTCTGGCAGAGTGAGTCCAATGCGTTTTCCCATCAGCGGAGCTAGTTGATTGCCGTATCCTAAACGTTTGCCGTATCCTGTCGTCAAAACTCCGAACACATTTTCCTTTTTTAAGAATGACTTAAGAGACGTTCTCTTAACTCCAAGTCCTCCAGAGCCGATTCGAAAGACCGCTGTTCGCCAGCAGAATCTTGTTTGTTTTCGAGTAGCTGGGAAATCAAGGCGCAGAACCATCACAACTCTGCCGTCATTGTGTTAAGCCCGCCCACCAACTCTATACACGATATGATTGGCCTGACCAGAGTTTGGTTTTTCCACTTCGAAAGCCAACAAAGAGTTGTTAGAACACACTGACTGCAAAATAATTGTTATTAAAATAATTTTTAGGCAACCTTATCATTTCAATTTTGGTCTTGAAAGGGCTTTTACATTTGCCTAAAAATATAACTTTTTTGTTATATAAAAAAAAGAAAAACAAGCCCAGCCCACGTGCGAAAAAGTAATGTACCGCATTGCTTTTCATAAAAAGTAACTAAGTAACGCAACTAGTTACTTTTTAATGTAGTAATGAGATATTGTAATGCATTACTTTTCAAAGTAACTTTCCCCAACACTGGTGGCAGTCAAGTACTCATCAAAGTACAGTTAATTTTTTTATTTTTGGGGAAACTATCTCTTCACCAGCTTTTAAAAAGGAACACTGTGGCTTCTTTTCAACAGTACCTCTGTGAAGCCGTGAAAATGTAATTGCCCCTCACTTCTTTAAATATGCACGTCTTATTCCTACCTACACAAGCTTGAGGTGCAAGGACTATCGAAATCCTTTTCGAGTGCAGAGGAGAGTGGGTGTAATGCTCCTCTTCTGGATGGGTTCACGGCAAGCGTTTTGTTGTATATGTCTGTACTGCAGTGGGGAAATACATTTCTGACTTTTTGTGATAAGCAGGTTGATTGCGATACCCTCAGGATACGTAGGTGAACTTTAAATGCTCTTTCGGTTAGTAAAACCCACTCATTCTCCATGAGAGAGGTTAAATCGAGGCCACAGACGCTCAGAGATGCCCACACAATCCCAGCGTGACGGTAAGCTGCTTCTTCTTCATGCCAGAGGGGATGCTGTGTGCCAATTTAACAGTTTGACCCACCATGAATTAAAGATTGGCTGCCTCTTTCATAACCCAAAACTGCCACCACTAAAGTTGGCACCCGATGGCAAATCTAGGTCTAGCTACTCATATTTGCAAGTGCATGTTATTAAGTCAGTCCTTACTTGTGACAGAAGTTTGTTGTTATTGTCCTCTAGAATCCGGACCTTGGTTTCCAGCTGGCGAATGTAGTTTGAGGATGCATCTGTAAGACAAAATAAAAAGGGAGAACATTTAAAATCGAATGTAATCTAATGTAAAGAAAAAAAAACATAGTATTAGTAGTGTAACTAGCACTGATGGGATTACAGTAACGCGTTACTGTAATCCAATTACTTTTTTCTAGTAACGAGTAAAGTAAGGGATTACAATTGAAAAAACAGTAATTAGATTACCGTTACTTCCCCGTAAACAGCCTGCGTTACTGCGTTAGTTAACCGTGATTTTGTTTAGTCAGACTGTCTCGTGACATGAGTCATGCGTGAATTAAAATGATGTATGAGCGCCGCGACATCAGTGAGAGACGACTAGAGCGCGGGAGAGAGCAGTCGAGCTGCCAGCCAACTTTCAGACACGCTCACACGACACACCCCCGATTTCTCGCGCTGAAGTGTCAATCCCGTCGGTCAAATGCCTGAAAGATGAGTTTTTATATAAATCTAACCGTTGAGCCACATTTGTGATTGACTAGTTATACCGCAAATTAGTTAAAATCTCCCGGAATCGAGAGCGAGCGCGCATGCGAGATTGTGTTCCAAAGTCCAAACTTCGTATCGCGCACAAGACGAGGAGAGCAAGAGAGAGACTTGCGTACTATGCAGAGAGCATCCTGATCTGGAAACAGGACCCCCGTTGGAGAATGTCAAAATTCTACCTCAAATCTGAGCAAGCAAGTCACGAAACAGTCTCACACGTAAAGCAGCAAGCCGGTACAGGAATGTGAAACTCCCCCATCTGACATGACCGCTGTCCGCTGCGGCTACATGCTGACTGTTTAACTCAGAAAAAAAAACAAAAAAAAAAAACAACAAAAACTTGAAGCCAAAATACGGCATGCAACAGCATTTTCTGTTTTGATTAAACTAATTTTTGCTCCTCTCTGCAATTTACTGTTAAAAGACGTAAGTGTTAATACACTGTAATATAGTCAGGAGCGACTTTCATGATTTTATTTTATTTTTACATCTATTCAAACGAAGGATTTTACAAAATATATTTATTTTATATGCTGGAATATGTAGAAATTTATATTAACAGAAGAAGGGCTGTCTTTTTCATTAAAATGGTGGAATGTGCAGAAAATATCTAAATAAAATGTTCAACAATTTTCTTCTAGTCTGAGACTGTTGCATTTAATTTAATTTTCGCTTGATGCAATGTGCATAAAGTTAAAATATTGAAACAAATAAAACAAGTTTAAAAAAGAGAATGTTTAATTTGATTACATTTTAGATGATGGAATATGCAGAAAGAATAGAATTAGGCTGAAAGGTCTATGCTTTAGCGTATTCAGGTCATGCATCATGTTTTTGAAAAGTAACTTAGTAAAGTAACTAGTAAAGTAACTAATTACTTTTGAAAATAAGTAATCAGTAAAGTAATTGGATTACTTTCTTGGAGAAGTAATCAGTAATCAGTAACTAATTACTATTTCCAAGTAACTTGACCAACACTGGTAACTAGTGGCTTTTCTGTTTCATTTATGAGAACCAATTTTTGCCGTGAAGTTACCGTAAAGAAACATTTCAGGTTGGACCTCCTGAACAAACACACTCTACAAGACCAACAATTGCTTATTTATTTCTTTAGTTCAGCATAAGTGTCAATCATATTCAAACAAATGAATCGAAGAACACGTCTTTTTTGGTACCATAATCAAAAGATTTGTTGAATCAAAGTCACAAACACTAATTGGGACATCAGGTGAAGCATTTTGAAGCCCAAAATCCAATACCTTTGATATTTTTCAAACTGCTTAAACACTATAACAAGGTGAAACTTCAGTTTAATTAAAGACTTGAGAATTCACCCTGTGATCTATTTTGGGGTTTGTTTTGAATTGATTCAGCCTACTTAAATTCTCATGCATATGTGTTTTTAATTTAATCCCACAACCTAAAATTAGCCTCCCTTCTGGTAACACAATTGAGTTTTTTTTAGTTTTCTCCGTACACAGTGTCAAATAATTCAAATGACCAAAAGCGTCATGCATGGTTTGATGTGGTCTGTAAAGAGCCAGTAACCTGACTAATACTACTTTCAATTTCTGGACTGACATCATGGTTCTGGCTATGACCGCATAGCCAATTATACATCACAGACCGCGTAACATGCAAGACAAAAAACAAAACAAGAAAAGGAATAAATGCAATGCAATGCAAACATCTCAACTTTGTCATATCCATCACCAATGTTTGTCATGAGAGAATTATTTTACCGCAGTCTACAGCTGCTACTCTAAACTCCTGTAGATGTTACAGCAGTGAACTTTACAAAGAAATCTGTAATTGTTAATGTTCCAATGCCTATTAAGGGTGTCATATGTCAAGGCACTGTTTATACCTGGCATTTAGACTTGATCGGATCACAAGTGGACAATGCTAAATACAGGTGTAAACGGGGTCTAAAACGTTTTGTGCTTGTGCTTTTTTTTAAATATTTATATAGATTATATTTAACAAAAACATTTAAAGTCCCCTTGTGGAGAAAATCAAGTTTTTAATGCTGTTTATATGTCTATGTGGTGTTTTTAATATGCTTTTATGTATAAATTCAACACCATTGCTGAGTATTTTCTCCTTAAAACTGCAGTAAATCCAATGGGCTATATGCACGCATAAGTTCCGCATTTGACGCAAGGATGCTCGTCCATTTCCGGTTGTGTAGATTAAAGCGGAGGAGAACCGAGGAAAATGGGATTATGGCAGTCTTCAAAATTTACTGTCCTCCCGTCTTTGAAACGAAACGTACATACGTTTAGATGTAATTTTATATATAGTTATGTTAATTTAAAGGGTTAGTTCACCCAAAAATGAAAATTAAGTCATTAATTACTCACCCCCATGCTGTTCCAACCCCGTAAGACCGTGCATCTTCGGAACACAAATAAAGATATTTCTGATTGAATCTGAGAGCTGGATCAGTCCTAGATAGACTGCCTAGGACTGGCTCTTGGGACTGGCTCTTGACGGCCCATAAAGTCATTAAAGAAAAGGTTTAAATATTCCATGTGCCTACAGCGGCTCAATTATAAGTTTATCAAGCGACGAGACTACTTTTTGTGCGAAAAAACCATAAATAACGACTTTATTCCACTATTCCAATACTTCCTTATGGGCGCATGCGCGAGAACTGAGACGAGGACGTTCTCATTCGACTACTTCTTGTTACCGGCTGCTCACCGCTTAGGAGTATTACCGCCCCCTACCGTATAAGATGATGTGCTGATATAGCTGGAAGCGCAAAACTTTCTGTTTACAAGCAGAGGAAGATGCGCGCTGTACATACGCTTTTCAATTAGCGTATTTTCCGCACTATAAGGTGCACTTAAAAGCCTTTAATCTTCTCAAAAAACGACAGTGTTCCTTATAATCCGGAGCGCCTTATATATATGGATCATCATTTTATACGGTAAAACTCCTAAGCGGTGAGCAGCCGGTAACAAGTAGTAGTCGAAGGAGAACGTCCTCGTCTCAGTTCTCGCGCATGCGCCCATAAGGAAGTAATCGAATAGTGGAATAAAGTCGTTATTTATGTTTTTTTCGCACAAAAAGTATTCTCGTCGCTTGATAAACTTATAATTGAGCCGCTGTGGGAATTTTTTTTTTTTAATTTATCATTTAGGTGAACAAAGATGAGGGATAAAATTGACTACAGGGGTACTTTAAGTGAAAAACACAGATACTTTATTGAGTCATTAAGCAAACAAATCGTTAAATTATAGTTTTGAATAGATTCATTAAAAATGGCCATTTGAACTAATTAATGGGAACAACTAGGAGCATTGTCCCACCCCTCAGATGAGGGACCCACTAACTAAATGTGACTTTACACTCCCATAACATATTTCCTGTTTGTAAAATATATTACGCTGCAATTTAACATTGGGTCTTATTGACCAACTGAGCAAAGACCTTACTTTCCAACCTTCTCAAGTTCACAAATTACTATTGTGAGCATAAATAAACCATTCTATAAATAACTAACTTTTTAAAAAACTGTTTAAGGCATGCAGTTTGTTTCATTTGGCTATCCAATGAATGAAATAGCCAACATGTGCCGACAGTTAGCTGGGAAACTGGGAAATTCTCACAGCCAAAAGTTCCTTTTTGAGAAAGAAAAGACAAAAAGTGTTTGTGCTGATTTTAATCATTTACTTCATGCGCTTCTGTTCAGTTTTTGTGAAAATATCAAAAATGAATGCCACACAATAATGTTGGTCATATTTCCTCTGTTATAAAAGAGTCATTTTATATGCCAACTGTGTTGGCAGGGTGTATAAGATGGGTGGCATTAGTTGCCTAAAAGCTAACCCCACTGACGTGTCTGAGTAAAGCCCTCAGCGGTGGGCAGCGAGGCAGTGCTGGGCGGCTGCAAATCCCTAGTGACACTCTAATCTAACTTCATCTGGCTGACTGAACTATGGGCACGGGCCAAGCTGATTAAAAAATCAACTTCGATCCACAAAATCTCTGGACCAGCGTCCTAGTGAAAGATCCACCCACTACCAAACACCACTCCAACCAGAACCAGCTTCAAGAAATATGGGTCACACTTTAGGGTCCAATTCTCATCATTTACTAATTAAATTTACATTTAACTGTGTCTTTAGCCTCAATAAACTACTATTTTAATGCTTATTAACAGTTAGAATGGTAGTTTAGGTATTGGCTAGGATTATGGGATATAGATTATGGTCATGTATAATAAGGCATTAATATGTGCATTATAAGTACTAAGAAACAGACAATATCCTAGTAATATGGATGCTAGTAAACAACTAGTTAAAGGGGAAATGAAGCAGTGAATCAAGTTTACAAGATGGATTTCCAATATAATCAACAATTATATAAGAAACATTACAAATGTAAACATTTAGAAGAAAAAAAGAAAAAACGTATCTTTCGCCGCCAGGGCGCCGCCATTGTGCAGGTGACGTAACGGGGTTGGTTGGCTCAAGTTTAACAGGCTCTGGGCATTGAAAATCGCGACATCAAACTGTGTTTATACCAGTGTTTTGACCGCGAACGAC